AGTGTATCTTCCTTCTACCGCAACTTGATCGATTTAGTTATTTTTTTTTCTTTGATTGAGGGCCAGCCAAGTGGTCATATCCGTCGTCGGAGATGTTGCCACNGAAGTGTATCTTCCTTCTACCGCAACTTGATCGATTTAGTTATTTTTTTTCTTTGATTGAGGGCCAGCCAAGTGTTCATATCCGTCGTCGGAGATGTTGCCATGAAGGCTGAATTGTATGACTTTTGAACCAAATTTACATTCTATGCCCACCATGGCGTGAGATTCGCTTGACATAATTCTACTAGCGTGGCGAGGGCAGCGCTCGTAGAATAGCCCTTTTCACTACACATCTAACTTATTAAAAAGAAGTTTATTCCAGAAGTATGAAGCGCAATTTCGAAGTGCAAGGCGTTCATGGCGAATCTTAATAGATTCCATAAAAGTGTTAGTGAGTTCGATAATGGCAAAAAAAGTACGGTATAATCTGCAGGTTTCAGATTCGCATACCAGCTGTTAGTAGCTCTGCCATTTTATTTCTCAAACTGTGAATACATCGCGTGGCATCATGTCATAAATACTCTCTGACGTACTCGTCCACTTTCGCACTTTAATAGGAGCTTCCCTACACCTTAATGGCAAAGTTTTAAAGATACTCTAGCGATCTTCGGTTTTCTTTAATCAAAGGACGTACATCAACTCGCTCAAAAACGGGTTATGTATGAACAGCAATAATAGGCTTAAAAACATAAAAGTCCATGTAGCCAATGAAACACTGTCTAAGTTTTTCAAAACCGGTGGCGTATAGCTCTTAGCGCGCTTTTACCAACTCTTAAGTTTGCTCCGATGAATAAATATGAAAAGATTGAATCTCAGTTCTCGCCATTTACCAAAAGATGAGAAGGCTTATCATCGCTTGTAGGGACCAATTGACGATACCTTTTGAAAGCTGAACGCTATCATAAATAAACGCACCTACCCATATCAATCAGGCTTCAGACCCGGTGAGCAGATCTTCGAATCCTGCAAAAGGTCGTTGATTTCAAAACCGATTTTGATATAACGACGCAAAGCTGCCTCTTTTGTTTACCTTACCTGTATAAGTGATACCTGAAAAAAGTCTAAATTGGGAAGGACTTCTGCAGGCCTACCGAGATCAACTGAGGTGAGATGAGAAGGTTTTAGGGTGCTTTCGAGACATCAATTATAAGAAAGATCTACAAAGAATCTGCTAGACTTTGTATGAACAACTACCGTCACTACGCAGTAGAGAGAGTCCATCAGCAAAGTTTTTTCTTCGAGTCGGCGGTAACCGAAAGCACCAAAGGAGATCACAGAGTAGGACACTCAATAAATCAAAAAACGGCAGAACTCCGAACGCGAGAGATCCGTAGACCGCCTCCGACCAACCCTCTAAAAAAAAACCTTGCTTTAGTACATAGCTTGTTTTTAACGCAACGTAAACTGGGTTGGCCCTAGGCACATCTTTCGATAGAAGCCGACAAGTAGTCAAGGGAGCTCCAACCCAATTGTCTACTGCGATATTACTATGGCCTGATACCATTGTATACTAGACTGACAAAGAAATATTCAACGCGATCGCAAGATACGTCAGGCATTCCCTTACTAGCTTCGAACGCACTGTTAGCTGGCCGGTCTCAGGTTTGAGTAGTAATTTCCCTTAACGCTATAGCGGACATCAGTAGTCGATCGACTGCTTCTTTGATACCAACGAACTCTGCTTGGAAATCACTACAATAATCTAGAAGTCAAAATTTAAGGTTGGTGGACGGGTCCCTGGAAAAAACGAATTTTATGCGTAGAGTTCAGCAATAGGGGTACATTTTACTTGTTATTTATTTTGAAAGCTTCAACGCGCATTGCGTAGTTTGTCAAAGACTTCAAACAAATATCAAGAAATTTTTCCTTGCAAAAACAAAAATGAATAGGTTCGGTATATTTTTATTTATTTATTTGTCCACTCAGATGGTGGTTGGACAGCACAGTTATAACCAAAGGCGGGTACGTATGTACACACATTTCTAATGCTTCCATAATTCCACGAAATACCGCTTTTGCAGCTGCACCACCGTAACGCGCGTCATATGCTTCAAAGCCCCTACGCTGAGCTTCAGCCCAGTGAGGGTGGTGGTGGTGGTGGTAGCGGTTCCGAAACGGGTAAAGATGAATGCAAACCGAATGGAGTCACATCAGGCAATCCCAAACAGAAAGCCACCAACATAGCACAGAAAGCAGCCAAGGAGGCCAAGGCTGCATCCGATGCTCAACAGGCTGCCGGTGAAGCCGCCTCACAACAAGTGAAAGCACAGTTAGCCGAAAAAGCTATTGCCGCTGCAAAGGCGGCCGAAGCGGCGCTTGCTGGCAAACAACAAATCGTGCAACAACTGCAGCAGGAGGTGCGCGAAGCTGAGGCCGTAGTACAAGAGCAAAGTAGCTCCCTGCAGAATGCGCAACAAAATGTCAACGCAGCAATGCAAGCCGCACAAAACGCTGCACAGCAACTAAAGACGCTAACTAAGGCCGTCAGTATGGCTCAGGTGAATGTAGGCAATGCGGAACAGGCAGCTCAGGGAGCACAACAGGACTTAGCGGAGAAGACACAACTAATGGAGGCTGCGAAGAGTCGTGTGGAGCAGTTGCTGCGTCAATTGGGTTCGGCACGCGATGATTATGCGAAGACCAAAGAGGCAGCTATGAAAGCGGCTGCCGCAGCGCATGAAGCCAAACAGAATGCTAATCCGTCGGGTCGTTGTTCCCGTCAATCGCCAAGTGGTCGCATGATGTCAAATCGGCATCTACGAATGGCACAGCGACAGCGTCATTAGAGTACAGAAACATTTTGCATGGATTTCTATTTTTTGTGAATATACTTTTTGGTTTGCCGCTTTGTGTTACTATATATCAGAATAGTTTTAAATATCGTATTTTTATATCCCAAACGGAATATATAGATACCTGAGTGGAAGATCGACCTAGGCTAGGTAGGAGGGGTGGAGCACTTGGACCCAGTGGGTCCGTTGTGATCAGTGTTGCCTCGAACAAATTTTTCTGCCCACCAAAATGTCCTACCAAAACCTGCCAAAAATTTTTTTGACCTAAGAAGATCTTTTGTGCTCTACTCTAATTGTAAAAACTCCGAACTGAGGATAATTAAGAAGTTAAGCACCTCGAAAGGTGCGATAATGCAAATATGGATGCAGCAAACAATCGCCCCCCCCCAAAGTGTATCAGTCTGCTGTTGAATACGTGGGGTCTCCTGCACTATCCCAATTCAAATGGCACCTTAATTTGCAGTGTCCTGTCAGGCAACCAGCGAGAATTTTAAGACCCTCCCGGATAAATTAAGGGGGTTTTCGGAGTTCCTCTTGGAAGGAGTTATGGATCTCTTTGATTGTCTTATTTCCTTTGTTATACCCTAGTGGGCCGCAATCTAAGATTCTTCCTAGCTCCTAAGTAGCTCTGCAGTGTATACTTTAGATGCACTTCAGACAGGATGGGAACCAGCATGTGCGTTTGGGCTCCACGCTTTTCGAGACAGCCAGGCCTTTCGTCGCTTTCATGTCCCGGAACCCACCATAGCATTACGCTATTGTAGGCNAGCGGAGAAGACACAACTAATGGAGGCTGCGAAGAGTCGTGTGGAGCAGTTGCTGCGACAATTGGGTTCGGCACGCGATGATTATGCGAAGACCAAAGAGGCAGCTATGAAAGCGGCTGCCGCAGCGCATGAAGCCAAACAGAATGCTAATCCGTCGGGTCGTTGTTCCCGTCAATCGCCAAGTGGTCGCATGATGTCAAATCGGCATCTACGAATGGCACAGCGACAGCGTCATTAGAGTACAGAAACATTTTGCATGGATTTCTATTTTTTGTGAATATACTTTTTGGTTTGCCGCTTTGTGTTACTATATATCAGAAGAGTTTTAAATATCGTATTTTTATATCCCAAACGGAATAAATAGATACCTGAGAGGAAGTTCGACCTAGGCTAGGTAGGAGGGGTGGAGCACTTGGACCCAGTGGGTCCGTTGTGATCAGTGTTGCCTCGAACAAATTTTTCTGCCCACCAAAATGTCCTACCAAAACCTGCCAAAAATTTTTTTGACCTAAGAAGATCTTTTGTGCTCTACTCTAATTGTAAAAACTCCGAACTGAGGATAATTAAGAAGTTAAGCACCTCGAAAGGTGCGATAATGCAAATATGGATGCAGCAAACAATCGCCCCCCCCCAAAGTGTATCAGTCTGCTGTTGAATACGTGGGGTCTCCTGCACTATCCCAATTCAAATGGCACCTTAATTTGCAGTGTCCTGTCAGGCAACCAGCGAGAATTTTAAGACCCTCCCGGATAAATTAAGGGGGTTTTCGGAGTTCCTCTTGGAAGGAGTTATGGATCTCTTTGATTGTCTTATTTCCTTTGTTATACCGTAGTGGGCCGCAATCTAAGATTCTTCCTAGCTCCTAAGTAGCTCTGCAGTGTATACTTTAGATGCACTTCAGACAGGATGGGAACCATGCATGTGCGTTTGGGCTCCACGCTTTTCGAGACAGTCAGGCCTTTCGTTGCTTTCATGTCCCGGAACCCACCATAGCATTACGCTATTGTAGCCCCCAGGTGCTTCAAAACAGTTTTTCAGCTGTCCACAAGCCTTGGTGCCATTTGAAAAGAGTGTAAGGCTTTTAACGCTGCTTAACTGTTCGACATAAATAATATTAATTCTGTCCCCATTTGTCCATCTATGAAGACATTCGCGAACACGTATTTCCATTTCGAAGACTTCCTCCTGGAATATGGTATGTGCCCGTGGGTATACCATACTTCGCACTCTTGGTCAATCATCGCTTCCCAGCAATCCCTTTCAGGAATTCTGACCTTATAGGGTTTGTAGAAGGATAATCTTGGTAGCATAATGTCCATGAACTTGATAGCGAGATTATCCAGGAATGGNTCGACCTAGGCTAGGTAGGAGGGGTGGAGCACTTGGACCCAGTGGGTCCGTTGTGATCAGTGTTGCCTCGAACAAATTTTTCTGCCCACCAAAATGTCCTACCAAAACCTGCCAAAAATTTTTTTGACCTAAGAAGATCTTTTGTGCTCTACTCTAATTGTAAAAACTCCGAACTGAGGATAATTAAGAAGTTAAGCACCTCGAAAGGTGCGATAATGCAAATATGGATGCAGCAAACAATCGCCCCCCCCCAAAGTGTATCAGTCTGCTGTTGAATACGTGGGGTCTCCTGCACTATCCCAATTCAAATGGCACCTTAATTTGCAGTGTCCTGTCAGGCAACCAGCGAGAATTTTAAGACCCTCCCGGATAAATTAAGGGGGTTTTCGGAGTTCCTCTTGGAAGGAGTTATGGATCTCTTTGATTGTCTTATTTCCTTTGTTATACCCTAGTGGGCCGCAATCTAAGATTCTTCCTAGCTCCTAAGTAGCTCTGCAGTGTATACTTTAGATGCACTTCAGACAGGATGGGAACCAGCATGTGCGTTTGGGCTCCACGCTTTTCGAGACAGCCAGGCCTTTCGTCGCTTTCATGTCCCGGAACCCACCATAGCATTACGCTATTGTAGGCCCCCAGGTGCTTCAAAACAGTTTTTCAGCTGTCCACAAGCCTTGGTGCCATTTGAAAAGAGTGTAAGGCTTTTAACGCTGCTTAACTGTTCGACATAAATAATATTAATTCTGTCCCCATTTGTCCATCTATGAAGACATTCGCGAACACGTATTTCCATTTCGAAGACTTCCTCCTGGAATATGGTATGTGCCCGTGGGTATACCATACTTCGCACTCTTGGTCAATCATCGCTTCCCAGCAATCCCTTTCAGGAATTCTGACCTTATAGGGTTTGTAGAAGGATAATCTTGGTAGCATAATGTCCATGAACTTGATAGCGAGATTATCCAGGAATGGCTTGAGAACCCCTAAATGACCCCGAGGAACTCCAGTTTTCATGCTGATTACATTAGGTAACAACGGATTTTACTAACGTATTGAAAGAGCAGTACGTTAGTTTTGGTGATATTCCCTAAATCTTACCATGAACTCTCTGACAGGCATAAAATGCCCTTGTAGCCTTGAATTGAGCATTTGTCCAGAGTTACTCGTAGATATTTCTCCTATAGTGAGAACTCAATTTCTGTGCCTGCCAAGGTTGATGTAATCAAGTTGACTTTTCTTCTTTTGGTAAATGGCACNATAGTGAGAACTCAATTTCTGTGCCTGCCAAGGTTGATGTAATCAAGTTGGCTTTTCTTCTTTTGGTAAATGGCACAATGGTAGACTTCAGTGGGTTTAAATAACAAGCCCTTTTCNGAGCTGGGTCGTAATGATTCCTTTAGGAATTAAATTACTCCCAATTACAGATTACAAGGAATTGTAATTAGGAATCAATTCCTTCAGTCCACAGCAAAGGAATCGATTACTTTTTCAATTCCTTGAAGTAATTTCAAATGTAATTGGTTTTTTTCTTTAATTCCATTACAAGGAATTTCATATTGTAATTGGGATAAACTACGTGCTAGTAATGTAATATNTACAGATACATATACATATATGAAAAGTCTTGTTGCATTCGTAGTACATATATATGATTGCATGTGCAAAATTAAGGCAAACTTTTTTTGCAAGAATGTGCGCTAATTGTTGAAATGTTATTGCGAAANACATTGGACATCTTCTATGTATATCTATATATATAAAAATGTTGTGTTCCTATGTCACGGTCATCAAACCCGAGAACGGCTGAACCGATTTGAGTATTTTTTTTTATTATTCGGTATAATACCAGAACCAATGATATCGCAAAAATTTGGAGGGTTGCCACCTATTTTAAAATTTGTAAACCCAATTATATCGATAAAATTAATGAATTATTACAATATGGGTATCAAATTAAAGAGGGTTAAAAAAGATAACTGTTGGAAATATTTTTGAGGGGGGCTGCCACCTAT